AATGTTTTATATCTTCAGCTTTCAGTTTTATTTTATTTGTTTAATTCTTTTGATTTTCATTATTTTCATTTAACTTAACTTTTAAAATATGTTTTTAATTTTAATAATTTATTTATATTTATTTTACTCCCAGCTGTATTTTCACTGTCACCTGTTTGCACCTGTAAAGTCTCCACTGTTAATACATGGAAGAGTCACCTGTGGGGCTGAGGGGGGGCCCAGGTGAGGGTCCCGTGGTGGTGGCGTCCCCCTGACCGTCTGCAGCGTCCTCATCAGGAGAAAACACCTCCATGTCCTCCAGAGGAGTCCAGCGGGGGTCCTGCTGGGGGGACGAGGGGGAGGGCTCCAGGGTCACAGAGGAGGTGGAGAGAGGCGCTGCCTGCTGTGCCCCGCCCTCACCCAGACTCCGCCCAACACCTCCTCCCCCTCCTCCTCCTCCCCCGAGCTCCTTGATCTGCCAGACGTCACTGCACCACTTCTGACCGAAGACTTTGTCCAGGATGGGGACCCAGTCCTGAGAGACCGAGAGGACGGGGGGACGCTCCGAGTCTGAGGAGGAGGAGGAGAGACAGGAAACATTTCTCTTTGCTGAACAGATACACAATGAATGCATTTCATCTGGTGTCATGGAAACGTGTCCCACCACATCACTACAGTGATGTCACAGCGTCCCACAGTCCACCTGTTACTACACTACAGTGATGTCACAGCGTCCCACAGTCCACCTGTTACTACACTACAGTGATGTCACAGCGTCCCACAGTCCACCTGTTACTACACTACAGTGATGTCACAGCGTCCCACAGTCCACCTGTTACTACACTACAGTGATGTCACAGCGTCCCACAGTCCACCTGTTACTACACTACAGTGATGTCACAGCGTCCCACAGTCCACCTGTTACTACACTACAGTGATGTCACAGCGTCCCACAGTCCACCTGTTACTACACTACAGTGATGTCACAGCGTCCCACAGTCCACCTGTTACTACACTACAGTGATGTCACAGCGTCCCACAGTCCACCTGTTACTACACTACAGTGATGTCACAGCGTCCCACAGTCCACCTGTTACTACACTACAGTGATGTCACAGCGTCCCACAGTCCACCTGTTACTATACTACAGTGATGTCACAGCGTCCCACAGTCCACCTGTTACTACACTACAGTGATGTCACAGCGTCCCACAGTCCACCTGTTACTACACTACAGTGATGTCACAGCGTCCCACAGTCCACCTGTTACTACACTACAGTGATGTCACAGCGTCCCACAGTCCACCTGTTACTACACTACAGTGATGTCACAGCGTCCCACAGTCCACCTGTTACTACACTACAGTGATGTCACAGCGTCCCACAGTCCACCTGTTACTACACTACAGTGATGTCACAGCGTCCCACAGTCCACCTGTTACTACACTACAGTGATGTCACAGCGTCCCACAGTCCACCTGTTACTACACTACAGTGATGTCACAGCGTCCCACAGTCCACCTGTCCCTCACACAGCCAGGTGAGACGTTACAGGACAACAGTCGTCTCTTTACTCACCGTCTGTCTCCGCCGTCTCTTTGGACACGGTGACCTCTGTGAGCTCCTCCCGGGCGTCCTCGGAGCCACTGGGGGACACCGAGTCGTTCTCTGAGCCTCTCCTCCTCCCCCCAGCTCCTCCTCCTCCTCCTCCTCCTCCTCTCCCCTTCTCCCCTCCTCCTCCTCCTACTCCTCTGTCGGAGCTCCTGTCCAGCCTCTCCTCCAGGACCCGCTGCTCCCTCTCCATCTTGGTGATCTCCAGCAGCAGGTCATCAAACGAAGCCTCCACAATCTTCGTCAGCTCGTGAACCGCGAAGTCCAGGACCTGCTCCATCACTGACTTCAGCTGGTCTGAAGGAGACAGAGAGGCAACCACCATCAGCATCATCATCTTCATCATCATCATCATCATCATCATCATCATCATCATCATCAGTCAGTCTAAACATCTGAACATCTCAGTCCAGGTCTGTTCATCAAACATTCAGGACGCCACAGTTTATTCCACACTACTGAAGCTCCTCCTCTTTTTGGAACCACTGCAGAGTCCATCATCAATTTCACTTTCAGCCATGTTTGTTGTTGCCGTAGTAACAGTATGAAGTCAATATGTCAACAAGTCCAAATATCGCAAATATCAGGATAACGTATAACATAATTTACCTTCACCCAGAACTCATTTTTACTGAATGGAGCTTGAATGCATCACAACATAACTGAGGGCAACCTCTGTTAGCTGTTAGTCCCAGCCAACAGCTGCTAACAGCTAACATTAACTAGCTGCTAACAGCTAACATTATCTAACTGCTAACAGCTAACGTTAACACCTAACTAATAACAGCTAAACCTAACTATCAGCTAACATTAACTGACTCCTAACAGCCAACAGCTAAAGTTAACTGATTAGAGCTAATGTTAACTGCTAACATTAACTGACTGCTAACAGGTAGTTAACAGACTGCTAACAGCTAACAGCTAAAGTTAACTAAGTGCTAACAGCTAACATTAACAGCTAATTC